CCCACGCCGCCGCGCGTCGCGGCCGATGGCGGCAGCAGCAACGTGCCCCATGTCCTCTTCGAGCGCCACCGCCAGCAGCACGTCGATGATGACTACGACGACGACAACGACCTCGAGCGGGCGCTTCCGGCAGCAGCAGCAGCAACGGCAGGAACGCCATCGGCAAAGTCCCTCTCACACTCGCGTTTCGGCGAAGACCCGACGCTGAGCGATTTGCGGCAGCGGTACATGAACCGCATCGCAATGCTTAACGAGGAGTCGTACCGCCACGAGGCGGAGACTGCGTTGGCGTACCGACACTCCTCCATGGACAGCTCTACGCACCGGGTTGCCTCCAGCAGTCTGCCTAGCAGTCTGCGTTCAATGACCTAGAAGGAAAGGAAAAAAAAGAGTGTATGGTTTGTTGTGGTGTAATAGAAGGAGAGCGAGACATGGGAAGACTTGTCAAGTCATAGAATTGTGTTGCGACGTATTTTTTCGGCGTCTGTGGGAGTGGGTGGTGGGTGTCCGGTGTAGTGTGAAGTGTATATCTACTAACTCGTGTTTGCTTCGATGTTGCTGCTGCTGCTGCTGCTGTTAGCGGTGGTGGTGGTGGGCGAGGTGTGCCGTGCACGTGTTTGCCCCACAAGTTGCCCTTCATTGCTCAACTTATTCACGCCCCTCTGCATCTGCTGCTGCTGCCCTACCAACAAGTCGCAGAAAAATCCCACGTATCCACCGACGTCACAGGTGAAGCAAGACAAACAAACCCCACATCTCTTTGTGTCTACATGCAGCAGAACGACTCAACTCTGGACATCACGCCCACGCCGTGGATGTCGCGGGAAATTGAGGCCGGTGAGGGCGAATGGGCGGCGGTGCCGCAGTGCGTCCGTGAGACACTGCTGGCCCTGCTCGCTCCCCCTGCCACACGCGGCGTGCCGTCCCATGCGATAGAGCCGAGTGCGCGGACGCTTCTTCCGCTGCGGCTGAACGGCCCCAAGACCGACGTTGTCGCCGCGCTCAACGCCGCGTACCAGGCGCACCGCCCTCCAGCGCTGTTTGTGCCGAACCTACAGTCTGTTGTCAGTGATCTTGACGAGCGACTCTCGCGCTGCCCACAGCACGGCTCTGCCGGCACTACCACTAATACTGCTGCTGCTGCTGCGCCCAGAGGAACGCAGATGGAGGAGAAGGAGGTGGGCAGCCACACTGTGGAGGAGCCGCTGCGGTTGCCGGATAAGCGTGTGTACTACGGCGTCGTGGCGGATGCGCCGTCGGAGTTGTCGCGCAAACCCTGTCGGTTGTCGTCGCGGCGCAGCGGCAGTACCTCTGCGCAGAGTCCGCTGCGTAAGGTGCGCCCCATCGCCCTGGACGCGCCGACTGTCAAGCGGGTGGAGTGCGTGCGGCACAGACGCGACACGACGGCGGCGCTGCTGCGTGTGCACGACAAGATTGCGCGTCTGCAGGCGGCGGCGGACGGGTCGCTGGTGAAGTCCGTCTACGACGCGATGCGGCTCGACCCGCGGCGTGCGCGCGACGTGTACGGCGACGTGAAGCCGCTGCCACACCCGACACAGGAGCAGGAGCAGGCGCTCGCCGCCTTTGCGGAGGGGCTCGCCGTGCTGCAAGAGGCCACGCAGGAGCTTGTGGCCGCCTTCCTCTCGCAGGAGGAGAAGCGGTTTCTCGGCGTCAACACGCACAAGTTCCAAACGCGCAGCGAGCGCGCCAACACGTACCAGTACACCTCTGACCTCACGAGGCCGAAGAATCGCGACTCGGTGAAGCAGTCCCGCCTTGTTCCGGCGCCGCCTGCTGCGGCTGCTCCTCCTCCTCCTCCTTCTCCTCCTCCTGTTGCTTCTGCTGATGTTGCGCCACCCAAATGTAAGGTCAACAGAAGCAGCAGTAACCGAAAGAAAAATAGGAGCAAGAAGAACGGAGAGAGTGATCGGCGTGTCTCCGCCCCTGCGGCTGTCCCCCCTGACCCTTCCGCTGTCATTTCAGATGACAATAATAATAATGAGGCGGAAAGGGCTGTTGGTGTAGATGTTGNTGTCCCCCCTGACCCTTCCGCTGTCATTTCAGATGACAATAATAATAATGAGGCGGAAAGGGCTGTTGGTGTAGATGTTGCGGATGCTCCTAATGTGCAGTCAACCGCAAATAAACGGTTGCCCCACACTCAGGGCCGCCTGGGCAACTCCCTATTGGGCCCATCCGTCGATCCACTGCGCGGCCGCAAGGAGGGCAGTGCTCTCAAAAAACAGGTGCCTCAGGCGGTGGGGCGCGGTGGAGGCGCAGCAAAAGTGGCAGCACCACCGGCACCAGCCGCAACTCTGCAGCGGCAGATTTCACGTTCAACTCTGTCGATGGATTCTTCTGAGAGTTCGGACGGACACGTGGGAGGGAAAAGGGTGACGGATGCAGCAGCAAAGAAACCGGCTGTGGTGACGCCAACCGCAGCCACAACAGCCCCGCAAGCCGCGGCTCCTTCCACTCTGGCTGAGGGGCTCCGTAGACTTGACTTCAAGCGGTTTCTCATCGTCAGTGACAGCGATTCCGAGGATGTTGCATAACGCATGTACGCATCACACTTCCACTGATAGACACCGTTTACTTTGTACCCCATCGCTACACCCCTCTGCGTTGTGCACCAGCCGATCGGCGGGGG